TCGATTGTGAAATCGATAGTCATATCGATTGTGAGATCGATCGAATGAAATAAATCGAGTGAGATCGATTGCCAGATCGACCGAGTCAGATCGATCGAGCGAGACCGATTGTGAGATTGATTGTGAGATCGGTAGTGTGACCGATCGAGTGAGACGTTGGTTCTTCCCCCCCCCCGAACCTCCTTATCACCCGAAGGCTGGTCGTATAGGTAGCCCTATAGCTCTATAGCCCTATAGCTCAATAGCCCTATAGCCCTACAGCCCTATAGCCCTATAGCCCTGATTGGGGTTTTTCTGCACGCCCGGGTGCCCGGGTGCCCTGGGTTGCCCCGGGTGCCCGGGTGCCCAGGTGCCCAGGGGGGGCCCGGGGGGGGCCCGGGGGGGCCCGGGGGCCCGGGCGTGCCCGGGCGTGCCCGGGCGTGCCCGGGGGTGCCCGGGGGGGCCCGGGGGTGCCCTATAGCCCAATAGCCCAAGCCCTGCAACTATATCGGAGGTGAGGGGGTGAGATCGAAGTGAAACGGAGAGCCCCCCTACTGGAAAATCGGTTTCGGTTTCGTGTTCGTGCGTGCCGTGCGTGCGGGCGAGGCGAAGCTGCGTGGGCGGACGAGAAGAAAGTCTCCTCTGGCTGAGGCGCGGCCGGACCAAATGATTCCTTTCCGCGGGCCAGTGGCCCGCGGTGCCCCGCCGGTGTCCCGCCTCTGGCTGAGGCGCGGCCGGACCAATTGATCCTTTCCGGGGGCCGGTGGCCCGCGGTGTCCCGCCGGTGTCCCGTCGGCGTCCCGCCGGTGTCCCGTCGGCGTCCCGATGATGATGATGATGATGATGATGATGATGATGATGATGATGATGATGATGATGATGATGATGATGATGACGATGATGATGATGATGATGATGGTGGTGATGGTGGTGATGGTGATGATGGTAAGGATGATGATGATGATGATGGTGATGGTGATGATGATGATGATGATGTCGATGATGTTGATGATGATGGTGGTGATGATGATGGTGTCCCGATGATGATGGCGATGATGGTGATGATGATGATGTTGACTTTGTGAATGATGTTGATGATGATGATGATGGTGATGGTGGTGATGATGATGGTGTCCCGATGATGATGATGCTGATGATGATGTTGCTGATGATGGTGATGATGGTGTGCCGATGATGATGCTGATGATGATGATGGTGTTGATGATCCTTATGATGATGATGATGAGAAAATGATTAGACGTTGATGATGATGAAGATGATGATGATGGTGTCCCGATGATATTGATGTTGAGGTTGATGATGATGCTGTTGATATTGATGGTGAAGAGGATGATGGTGTCCCGGTGTTGATGTTGATGATGATGATTACGATGGTGGTGTCCCGATGATGATGTTGATGATGAGGATGATGATGAGATGATGATGATGATGATTTTGATGATGCTGGCCCGATGATGGTGATGCTGATGTTGATGATGATGGTGCCCCGATGATGGTGATGATGATGATGGTGATGGTGGCGATGATGATGGTGGTGACGATGATGATGGTGTCCCGATGGTGATGATGATGATGTTGATGATGTTGTTGATGATGATGATGGTGTCCCGATGACGATGATGTTGATGATGTTGTTCATGAGGATGATGATGAGATGATGATGATGGTGGTGTTCCGATGATGATGATGATGATGATGATGGTGCCCCGATGATGATGATGATGTTGATGATGGTGGCCATGATGGTGTCCCGATGATGACGATGATGGTTCTGATGATGATGTTGATGATGATGGTGATGAATTGATGATAGGGATGGTGTCCCAAATGATGATTATGATGAGGATGCTGATGTCGTTAATGACGATGATGTTGATGATGATGATGATGACGTTGGTTGTGGGATCGATTGTGATATCGATTGCGAGATCGATAATGAGACCGAATGTGAGATCGATTGTGAAATGGATGGTGAGATCGATTGCGACATCGACAGTCATATCGATTGTGAGATCGATCGAATGAAATAGATCGAGTGAGAACGATTGTGAGACCGACCGAGTGAGATCGATCGAGCGAGACCGATAGTGAGATCGATTGTGAGATCGATAGTGAGACCGATCGAGTGAGGCGTTGGTTCCTCCCCCCCGAACCTCCTTTTCACCCGAAAGGTTGGTCGTATAGGTAGCCCTATAGCTCTATAGCCCTACAGCTGAATAGCCCTATAGCCCTAAAGCCCCCTAGCCCTATAGCCCTGATTGGGGTTTTTCTTCGGTCTCATTCTTCTTTTCTTCAAGACATGGTCAGTTATTCGCTGGTATCGATCTGAGGCGCATGAAGACAGATTGCAAGAGAACGGCCTGCATCAGAAATTCGTGACGCGTTCGTGACTCATGCGCCCACCAAGGCCCCATATTGACAGCAGTGGCCGCGCAAATCTGCGGCTTTGAAGGAGCTCACTCCCCAATCAGAGCTTGCTTCTGTAGGGGTCCTAGCGGATTCATATGGTTAGGTGAGCTTTGCCGCCGATTTCCGCGGCCCGCCACGGTTCCCGGGTGCCTTGTAGCTTGATAGCCCTATAGCCTTATGGCCCTATAGCCCTACAGCCTGATAGCCCTATAGCCCAATAACCCTATAGCCCTATAGCCCTACAGCCCTGTAGCCCGATAGCCCTATAGCCCCATAGCCCTAGAGCCCCAGAGCCCTAGAGCCCTATAGACCTATAGTCCTGTAGACCTATAGCCCTATAGCCCCATAGCCCTATTGCCCTATACCCCATTGCCCAATAGCCCTATAGCCCCATAGCCCTATAGCCCCATAGCCTTATACCGCATTGCCCAACAGCCCCGGTAACCCTAGCCCTATAGCCATGTAGCCCTAGAGCCCTATGGCCCCACAGCTCTGTATGCTTATCGCCTCATATCACCATAGCCCTAGAGCCCAATAGCCCTATAGCCCTAAAAAGAATCGGATTTCGGATTTGTTCTCCGGTGTCATGGAGATTATGAAGAATCGCTAGTTGGCAAGACTAGATGGGGGGAGCGCAAGACGGATGAGGAGCGGTGGCGTTCACGAAATCAGCAGGCGACCGTGAGCGTATGAGGTGAGAGCCTACGTGGGGGATGGTTCACGCATGACGGCAATGCGGGCCGCCACAGTTCGGGTTGGAGCGGTCGCATAATCATTACAATGTTTGAGGCAGCCTCCTTTTGCAGCAAACCATGCCATTGGCACGTCACTTGGCTGCCGATATCATACTGCAGTGCCGCATGATGTGGCAGTGGGCGTTGCGGATGGCCAGAGAAGCAACGAACACAAAGATAGAACTGACGCGAGCGGGCGACTAGCATCGCCGCCACCATTGACCTGATGGGCTCACCTCTTCATGATATGTTGGAATTGAGGGCAGGCCCAGGTCAAGCGTCGATGCCGTAATTACCCCCATCCCCCCACCCTCCCCCCAGTTCCCCCAGGGCGGCGGCGGAAAGAACACCTCCGAGGCAGAGGAAGTGAGGTGACGACGCCATGATCAGGGGCAGGTCAGGATGAGACAGGCTGGGGGGGGGACGCATCGACGCCCAATCGCCCTTTCATCGCCGATAGGGGGCCCGATAGCCCACCGCGCGCAGGAGCCTGCGGATGTGCCGTCGGGGGCTTCTTGTCAACCTATCGGCGATGTATCGCCGATTCCAGCTCAATGGTTCCCTCCCTGAGCTGGGTCCCCCTATCGCTGCCCCTCCATGGTTAACCCCTCCCCCACCCCTGAGCCGTCTCCACCCATCGATCCCCACCCATCGATCCCCATGCGACGCGGCGGATGCATCGACCTCATGCGCCCATTCATTGCCGATAGGGGCCCGATAGCCCGTTCCCGCCCAGTAACGTGCGGCTTTGCTATCGAGGGCCTATCGTGGACCTATCTGCGATGTATCGCCGAGTCTAGCTCGATGTTCCCCCCCCTGAGCTGGTCCCCCCCGAACGTTGCCCCTCAGGACAGGGCAGAAATGAGCAAGCAGGAGGGAGAAGTCGCAAGGGAGGCCGACGAGGTGGGGCGCGGAATGGGGCTTACTCTTTCATCAATTTTGAAAGGACTCTATTGGGGGCGCAGTGGGTAGGGGACCTCAGTCGCCAGGGCCGTCCAAGATTCGATCGTTCCGATGATGCGCGCCGAAGCTTGCTCGTGGCACCGCCAGATTCGACTGCGCACCGCCAAAGTCGGGTCGGACGAAAGCGGAGGGGGGGATTGGGAAGGGGGGGTACGACATCTGCTGCGTGCAGTTGTTTTCGGCTCCGCCAGCGTGCGCGTTCCTCGATATATTGGCGCCTGCGCCGAAAGGCGCTGGGCAAACCAGCTACGTGAGTTGATTCGCTAGCCCCCCTGCATTTCTCCCCCTTTTCGCCCAATCCGGAAACCGGGGATTGAATTTCGGCGGACGCTGGTCTTGGACGTTGCTCGCCCTCTTTTTGCCTCTGGGGGCTCCCTCGCCGCCATGGCTGGATCCGCATCGCGACCCTGGTCCAGACGCGTCCCAGGATGGGTCTGGGAGTGGCCCACCCCCTTCGTTCCTGAATTGTTATTGTTTGTTCGGTACCTCACCCTTCCTGTGCGAGTGGGTTTGTGCGAGCATGGGAGATTGTTCGATGTGGCGACGGCTCTCAGAGAGGAGGATGATCTTGCACCTCTCGTCCACCCGTCCTTGTGCCCAGCTCCCGACGATGACCAGTCTGACTAATGCTGATCTCTGCGCTTGTTCACGCAGGCTCGCAAAGATAATAAGACGCAAAGTGCAGTTGCCCAGTTTCCTCATGTACTGTTTGCCTTCTTATTTGTCGATCTATTGTAGGCGTCAGAACGCCAATCGCCACGGGGTTGTGCCGATCGCCGAGCCGTGGCGCAACTTGACACCCGAAGCGTCAGGGTCGAGCACTGCCCCATTTTCCTGTCTTGTCCATGGGCGCGCTGGGGATGACCCACACATGGCACATGGGAGCTGTAAAGGATGGCGGCGCTGGGGATGACCCTCACAAAGGCACATATTCCGCGGTCTAGGGCCGCCGCAGAACTCAAAGCGAGAGACTATACCTGCTGAGTTGATGCCTTGCCTGGCTATCCCTGCGGGTTTCGGGTTTCGATTTTTCGTTCGGTCGTTGTCCTTCAGCCGCTGTGTCTTTCCTCTGGCCCTCGCTTGTTCGTCATTTCGGACCCTCGTTCGGTCCTGCGCTGCTGGGAGTTGACGTTTGATTCTCGCCCACGTCAAAAAACAGAAAGCCCAGCCCTTTCGTGTTGTTGAAAAAAACAAGCACGACACGAAATTGCTCTTTACATGTGGTCGTCCTCCAGGGGGCACTTACCGGGCGCTCGGGACGTCAAAACGGAGCTCGGAGTGAAACGCCCTTTCTGGAACAAAAGCTATTCCACTTCCCTTTCAGCTCATCAGTCGGAAGTTGGGAATCGTTGGAGGGCGCAACCCTCGCGCAAGACTCTGGCCTCTGGCAAGCCGCGATCTGGCCCGGGGCGAGCGGCAGACCCCGCCTGCGACCGGCTGGCCCGCAAAAGCTCAAGGTGGGACTAGGGATATGTGTTTCGCGTTTGCCTTCCACCACTCGGCCTCACGGCTCGCGTGCGAAGCCTGGGCGGCCCCTCTCTGGGGAAGCCAGCGCCCGTTCCCTGTGGATTAGCGTTCGTCCGCTATTACTGCCGAAACGACGAGCAGCACCCCCGTCATGGTATTTGCCTCGCGAGGGGGTGGGGGCCTGAGCTCGGAGCCAGGCCTGGTCGGAGTCGATCGCGTCCAGATTTGTCGGCGCCTGCTTCTCAGGAGCACCGCTAGCGGGGGATAGGCCCAGGGGGGGATGCGTCATTCCTAATTCGTCCAGCCATCGCCGACAAGGGTCTGAAAGCCCACCCCGCCCAAGAACACGCGTATTCGCTATCAGCTGCCTGTCGGTTTGGCTCCCCTTCTGTTGGTTAAGACATTGGTATACCAAAGAAGCCCCACGTAGTGAATTGCGTAAGGCAGGCGTGTGGGGTCGCTGGGCGTCCGAGAAGTGCACGCTGGCACCCTATATACGAGTTTGAGCATGCCTAAACAAGTTTAGAGTGGCCGCTTTGGGTATGGCCGTTTGTAGCATGGTCGTCTTGGGTATGGCTAGCCGAGTTTCGAGCGGTGGTGCCTTTCAACGAGCCAGAGGGAACTCAATTCTCGCCCATCTATCGGCGATGTATCGCCGATCCCATCTCCATGTTTCCCCCCCATTGAGCTGGTCCCCCCCGAACGTTGCCTGTCAGTTTCCTCGGCCGGGCGGTGGGATGGCCGCGTGCGGGAGCGCTACCGCGCTCGGGCTGGACTCGCCGACGGCGCTGGAAGGCCGCCTGCTGCGCCGCGAGACGTTGCAGGCGCACCCCGATCCGACCCAGTTTGCAATGTCCGCCTTCCGTTCGTTCACCCGATGCATCGGCGATGCATCGCCGACGTCGCTGGTGCATCGCCGATGCATCAGCGAGGCGGCGCGATTTTCCGACGCCGTCTAGTCAGACCCCCCCAGAATGAACCTCGCCTTCGGCGCGTCCTCGCCCTCGGCGGGAGGCGACGAAAGACTTGCGGAAGGCGGCAGAGGGACAATGTCAGAGGAGGGCCACCCCAAGGTCAGGCCGACTTTTGATTCTCGATCCCTCCTCCTCCTTCTCGATTGTCGGTCCTCCTCCTAATCCTCCTCCTCCTCCTCGATCCCAATGTTGGTGTCTTTTGATTTCTCTCAGGCTTTCCCCAGCGTTCGGCAGGATTGGCTCCTCCGGTCCGCGCGACGCGGGCAGTTAAGCTGCCTAGGGGGTGCCAGGCAGCAATCGCAGAGTTTTACGTCCTCAACTTGTGTTGGTTCTGCGACGGCGGCCCGCTGCTTCCGCTCTTCTGCATGACGGCAGGGGTGCTACAGGGCTGCCCACTGAGTGGTTCATTATTTCTGATCGCTTCAAACCCTTTCCCCTGGGATATGGAGCTGAAAGTTGTGAGCCGTCACCTGGGATTTCCTAGGGTGTGTGCCGATGATGCCGGAGCCGTACTTTTCCACTCTGTTGGTTTTGTGCAGATGGCTCGTATTTTCAAGCTCGCGAGCGTGTTCGCTCGCCTGACTTTGAAATATTGTAAATGCCAGGTCGTCCCTCTGATAGGTGAGTTCTGCGACTCTCTGGTCATGGCCGCTCGGGAGTTCATTTCCCCGGTCGATTCGGGTTTGGCGGGGTTCCAGATCCAAGGGAGTCTCATTATCTCGGAGTGGAGTTCGGCCCATCTGCGTCGGTGGAGCTCCAATGGGATGCTCCAAGGAAAGGGTAAGTGGCAGAGGGATGATGACAAGCTAGGTGCGCTCGCGTCATATCTGACGTCCTACCCCTCCCTCCCATCCCTTACCATGGCGCTGATTTTCTCTATCCGCGGACGCGTGTCGTAGCGGACCTGTGGCTCCGCGCGCGCGTGCGTAGTGGGTGGTGGTGCGCGTGCGTGCGTGCGTGCGTGCGTGTGTGGTTGTGGTGGTTGTGGTGGTGGTGGTGGTGGTGGTGGTGGTGGTGGTGGTGGTGGTGGTGGTGGTGGTGGTGTGTGTGTGTGCGTGTGCGCGTGTGCTGTGGCATGGCACGGGAAATGACGCCAGCGCTGCAGCGGGAGCACGAGTCGGAACGAGCGGAAGCGCGGAAATGAGGCCAGCGCTGCAGCGGGAGCACGATCCGGAACGAGCGGAAGCACGGAAATGAGGCCAGCGCTGCAGCGGGAGCGCGATTCGGAATGAGCGGGGCCCGAAAGTGAGGCCGGCGCCTCAGCGAGAGCAGCATTTTAAAATTTGCCTGGCGAAGAACCCAACCATATGCAGTTGTCAGTACCGCAGCTGCAGGTTTCATCTTCAGTGGAAGTCCCCATAGGACCACGGAGCGTGTGAGGGGTGTTCCGAAATGGGTGCCACTGGGGCATTCGGTGAAGTTCCCGATGGGGACATGAAACACGCGCGGGGCGTGCCGATATGGGTGGCGGAAACGCATGTGAGGGCCGCCACTGGGGCCTCCAGTGGAGCTCCCTATGGGTCCCCGAAACATGATGCTGCTGCGGGGGGGGTGCCGGGATGGGTGGCAGGGACGCATGTAAGCGCCGCTACTGGGGCCTTCGGTGGAGCTCCCTATGGGGCCACGAAGCGCGTGAGGGGTGTACTGGGATGTGTGGCGGGGACGCATGTGAGCGCCGCCACTGGGGCCTTCGGTGCAGCTCCCTATGGGGCCACGAAACGTGTGAGGGGTGTGCCGAATTGGGTGCGGGTGGTGACGCATGCGGGCGGTGCCACTGGGGCCTTCGGTGGAGCTCCCTATGGGGCCACGAAACCTGTTGTTGTGAGGGGCGTGCCGGGATGGGTGGCGGGGACGCATGTGAGCGCGGCCGCTGGGGCCTTCGGTGGAGCTCCCTATGGGGCCACGAAACGTGTGAGGGGTGTGCCGAATTAGGTGGGTGTGGGTGACGCATGTGAGCGCCGCCACTGGGGCCTCCGGTGGATGATGGGGCCACGAAACCTGTGAGGGATGTGCCGAAATGTGTGTGCGGGACGCATGCGCATGTGAGCGCCGCCGCTGGGGCCTTCGGTGGAGCTCCCTATGGGGCCACGAAACGTGTGAGGGGTGTGCCGAATTGGGTGTGCGTGACGCATGCGGGCGGCAGCACTGGAGCCTTCGGTCAGGCTCCCTATGGGGCCACGAAACGTGTGAGGGGTGTGCCGAATTGCGGTGTTCGCGGGGCCACGCAGGGGTGTGCCGGGCACGCATGCGGGCGGCAGCACTGGGGCCTTCGGTGGGGCTCCTATGGGGCCACGAAACGTGTGAGGGGTGTGCCGAATTGGGTGTGCGTGGACGCATGCGGGCGGCAGCACTGCGGCCTTCGGTGGAGCTCCCTATGGGGCCACGAAGCGTGTGAGGGGTGTGCCGACTTGGTGTGTGCGTGACGCATGCGGGCGGCCGCACTGGGGCCTTCGGTGGGGTTCCCTATGGGGCCACGAAACGTGTGAGGGGTGTGCCGAATTGGGTGTGCGTGACGCATGCGGGCGGCAGCACTGGGCCTTCGGTGGCTCCCTATGGGGCCACGAAGCGTGTGAGGGGTGTGCCGAATTGGGTGTGCGTGACGCATGCAGGCGGCAGCACTGGGGCCTTCGGTGGGGCTCCCTATGGGGCCAGCGAATGGGGCCACGAAACGTGTGAGGGATGTGCCGACATGGGTGTGCGTGACGCATGCGGGCGGCAGCACTGCGGCCTTCGGTGGGGCTCCCTATGGGGCCATGAAACGTGTGAGGGGTGTTCCGAATTGGGTGTGCGTGACGCATGCGGGCGGCACTGGGGCCTTCGGTGGGGCTCCCTATGGGGCCACGTGAGGGGTGTGCCGACTTGGGTGTGCGTGACGCGTGCGGGCCGCAGCACTGGGGCCTTCGGTGGGGCTCCCTATGGGGCCACGAAACGTGTGAGGGGTGTGCCGAAGTGGGTGTGCGTGACGCATGCGGGCGGCAGCACTGGGGCCTTCGGTGGGGCTCCCTATGGGGCCACGAAACGTGTGAGGGGTGTGCCAAAATGGATGATGATGACGATGATGATGGTGTGAGGAGGGAGGAGGGAGGAGGGGGAGGAGGAGAGGAGAGGAGAGGAGGAGGGGAGAACGCGGGGCGACGTCTCTTCAAAACGAGGACCCAACACCACAGGATGGTTGGGAAAAAATGCAGGCGAAAACCCAACTCCGGGGAATCCTGTGTGTAAAAAAGCAGGACGCGGGGGGGGGGGCGAACACTCCCAGCACGTCATCAGGGGAAGAGGGAGAGTAGTATTCATATTGAGTAATTGTTGACGACGGCAAGAACGAGAACCACAACGGTGGGCAATATGATGGAAGAACAGGGAGGTAGTGAGGAGAAGTAGGAGGAGCGAATACATTGCAGCACAGCGCGCATCAGAAAAGCAGTGTGGGATATCGAATCCCACTCATTTCAAGTGGTGCGTCGCTTGTTGTTGCGGGCTTTCCCGGGCGTGTCGCTTGGCTTTCCCCGAGACCACAGGGCCCCAACACGGGCCAAGAGGGCCGAAAGAGGCCTCCAAGACAGCCTAGGAGGGGTCCCAGGAAGCCCCAGGGGACTCCCAAGAGGCTTCCAGGATAGCCCCAAGAGGCCCCAATCACGCCTGCAAGGCACCTTCCAGAGACTTCTAAAGAGAAGTGAAGCCTCTAACAGTTGCAAAGATGGAGGGCTGGTAGTTTCTGACATGCTGCTCTCGCCTCAGTGCCGCGCGCATTCGTTTTGGACATGTCCTACAATGACAACGATGAACGGCTGGTGATTTCCAAAAGGTAGCTATTGTCTAGCGCCGGTTTTGCTTCAAAGGCTTCAATACAACAATGGAAACCCATTCGTTCTCACAACGCGGCTCTCGCATTTCAAAATGGGGCTCTCGCTCCAGACTTCCGTAGTCGGACTGTCCAGAGGTTCATTGATTTGCGCAACAGCTACACGGATGGAGGGCCGAGTCTTCTCAAACCGCTGTTGCCGGTGGACACGTGTTTGGATGCTGTGATCCTGTTCCCTTGCGCTTCTGACAGCTAGAAGGATGGGCAGGCGGTTCCTTTACGAAACGGTGTCTCGCCTGAGTGGCAGGCCAACCAGGCGCCCGTCATTCAAGCATCGCGCTGGCCGCAGAGGAAGGGAACACCTCCAGGGACATCTGATGAGGGGACGTGGGACGGGATAGTGTCCAGCAAGCACCTCGAAGAATGCATCTGCCTGTCAGCAGGTGGCCCACGGAAATTTCTTACCCCATATGACCCCAGGGACCCGCAGATGCTCTGGGTCACCATAGGCCCTTCAAATACCGACGAAGAATGTGCCCCACTATTCCCCAAACAGTGCTTGCACACAGGGCTTTGTCTTCTGTTCAAAAGAACTCGGCCGTGTCTTCGGTCTGGCAGCTATGTGGCCGACGCCGAGGCCCCGTCGCCACCTCGTCGCCGCCCGTCGTCTGGGCCGTGTCTTCGGTCTGGCGGCTAGGTGGTTGCCGTCGCCGCCTCGTTGACGCCTCGTCGCCATCTCGGCGCCGCCCGTCGTCTGGGCCGTGTCTTCGGTCTGGCGGTTCTGTGGCCGCCGTCGCCGCCCCGTCGCCGCTTCGTCGCCGCCCGTGTTTTCCATATCTTGCATCAATTAGATGTTGTGCGCCACGCATATCGCACAACATAGAATGCCCAACGTGAACCTATATTGCATTACATACATTCTCTAATTCTGGAAGAAAGCAGGATCTACTGCCCCCCGAGGCTGGGATTATCGATCCCCCATGGGGGTGTACAGTCTACATTGGTTTTGCTCCATCGTTCATGCGAAATGTTTGATTCATTTTACCCC